ATTTATTGTAAAAAGTGCTCCTTTATTGCTTTTCTCGTCTTGCGTCGTTAGTATGAAGCCATTTCTTTAATTTTTCTGTTGTAGACCATCAAAAACTTCGAGAAATGAGCCCAAGCCGATTTGGCCTCATCAGCGGCACATGTGCTATTTGTGATGATTGTGGTCTTGCTACTGGTGATCATAATTCCTTAGACATGTTAGACAATGCCCCCAAAACAGTTCAAGGAAAAGATCTGAATTGCCAAATGGTTTATGTTGGCAGTGACAGTTTAGTTTAGTAAATGTTTTCTCCACTGATTTTGCTTTCCAAATTTTAAGCTACATTTTTCTCAGAAGGGGATTTTTACGAAGTTTTTAGATGCCCCCCAAGACTTTTTCAGTTTGGTTTTATCTATTTTCTACCAAATTTGGCTCAGTTACATATGAAAGGCTGCTCTACAAACCTAGGATGCTTTTTTCTTTTTGATGAATTCAGTTGATGTTATACCAGACCAAACTCTATACAAAAGTATGCTGTTACAATTTTTCAATGCTTTCAGTCAACTCTTGTACATCCACAACATGGTACAAATCTTGAGCGTTCTTTCGTCTTGCCATGTCGAAAGCTCTAGTAACGCCCATTTGTTCTTGTAAACCGTAAATTTCGGAACAGAATTGATAACACATTCCTTTTCCTTGTCGGACGTTTAGGGCATCCGATTCATGTCGTATAAAAAAATGAATGTGCTTAACACTAAATTAAGTTGCATAACTCCCAAATGACGCATTCCATCCAAACCATTTTCATCACACAGCTATAGTTTAATTGACAAAACGAAACAACAAGACTCAGTAAATAATAATAATCAGTCACTCGTTTAAGAAGCTAGACCAAAAACTCGTGCTTCGTGTTTCCTCGGGGTATCCAGACACTTCAAAACAATAAAAGCACAAGGCCTTCGGCCTCGTGCTTTCATCTGTTTCTCGGTGTCTGGATAACCTGATGAAACACTCGCACTCGTTTACGATATATTACATAACTTGAATGATAGACTCTTTTTCAACCTCATGTATATTTTCTTATTGAATTGTAGTAACTGATGTATGTTGATCACGTAAATGCGTGGGTTATCACTTTCCTGTTAACGTTTATCCATTGACGTCACAAAGAAGATCGTGGAATAATCTAAGAATAATCTAAGATCACACCAACATAATATACTGAATAATTTGAGAAAATGACAATATATCAAATTAACAATTGGTTCATACGTTAGCGTGCGTTCATCGCGATATGAAGCACGCGAGAAGTTTGAAGAGCACGAAAGATGCCTAAGAGTTGCTCGAGGTGTAGCTTGCTTCTTGAGTCAGCGACACTCAAAAATCTCAAAAATATAAATTATGTAAATATTCTCTTCGTGGGTGGACAGGAAGAAGGAGGACACGTGTCAATGACGTGGACCAAAGTGACAGGGTATTCTGAAGTTGCTACAAAATAGAAATCATGGTCGGCTACACTGCATTGAAAGGGAGTAAATCAAAGAGTAGGATATTCATTACTCTATTCGCTGCAATCGCTGCTATCACATCGATCGTAGGAATAGTGTCAATAGTTCTTGCAGTTAAAAAGAAAGGGGAGAGTGACGATGGGGCTTCATCGACATTGACGTCGCCCGCAGCGTCATCCTTCTGTGACTACTCTGAAGAAGCCAAACGGATCCGTCTAGAGGAGATC